GGAAAAAAAAAAAAAAAAAAAAAAAAGAAAAAGAAAAAAAAAGTCACAGTAAAGGGTGGTACATATATGGTAGTGGTAGCATGAGGTGTGCTGGACACACAGGTAGAGAAGCACAGCTGAAAGGGAAGAGGGTGTGGATTTCTGGACCAAACCCTTAAAAGACAATAGGTGGTACCCAGGTAGAGGCCAGGATGCTCCACAAGAGGGGTAAAAGTAAAAGCACGGTGGCTACATATCCTGCTAGAATAAAGGACATTGGCTACAAGTGATGCTAGAGACATAAATAGTAGCAACCCCAAGAAGACATCTGCCAGTCATTTTGAACACAGCGGGTAACCAGTGAAGAGGTTTAAGCAGCATTTAAAAAAAATTTTTTTTTTTTTTTAAGGAAAACAGCTTCAACACTTCATCAGAATGCTGTCAATTTGAGAGGGTCCTTGAGCAAAAAAGTACGTGCTAAGACAAATTTACCAATTTACCTTGCTATTTGGCCCTGTGTCTCAGCAAAATCCAATGGTGTGAGCGCTATCTATGGCAGATAAAGGTACTGTATTGGAGTCTTAGGCAAGACCTAATGGGAGACTCATAGTGCAGACCCTTGAGGTTCTGGAGCAAGGCCATTCCTCTGACAGCAGGTCATTTGAAAATTAGACTATGGAGCCTTTTGGCCAGAACTACCATCTTCCAGTAATTTGCCAAAAAGATTAACACAGAGTGAAAGAGAGGGGAACCCAGTATATGTGCTCCAGGCCTTTCAGAAAACACGGGGGGAGGGGAAACACGGGGTTGTTCCTTTGGCCGCATATAAGTGAACCTACGAAAAGGATGATATTGTAGACGTTAAGGGAATTCATACTATCCAAAAAGGAATGCCACACAAATGTTACCCTGGCAAAACTGGAAGAGTCTACAGTATTACCCAGCATGCTGTTGGCATTGTTGTAAACAAGCAAGATAAAGCCAAGAGACTTCCTAAAAGAATTAATGTTAAAAAAAAGGAATTAATGTAAGCCCTTTAATAGTTGAAATGTCAAAGGAAGTGATCAGAAAAAGAAGGAAGCCAAAGAGAAAGATACCCGAGTTCAACTGAAGGCCAGCCTGCCCTGCCCAGAAAAGCACACTTGGTGGGAACCAAAAGGAAGGAGCCTGAGCTGTGGAATTTATTCCCTATGAATTCATGGCATAAGCTGGGGGGCAGGGTTTGCTTTGCCTTTCGGCACCTAATGAGTGGCAGAGGCCCTGGACACAATAACCAGTACAGACTAAAAATGAAAAAAAAAAAGTCTTGAATTGTAACTACAGTTTTCTTAATTGAATAGGTATGTGGTTCCCTCAGCCCAAAGAAATCCATACTTAGAGTAGATTTCAGATTCTTTGTGAGCACAGTTAGTACAGTTAGTGATATGCTTCAAACTCATGTTTTTCTTGCTGAAAGATGTGTTACCACATCTTTTTGTGCAGATGTGTGCCCACATGGCCTAAATTTTTGAAATGTTAATATTGGCTTGAAGATCCTCTAATCACCACGGGAAAAGATGTATTAAATCAAATGTAAGGCAATCTGTGGCATTACATTTAAATCAAGTGTTTAAAGCACCCTAAAAACTTAGTCACAGGAATGCCACTTGTGCCTTCTACTGATTGAGAGCCTGGCCTTGCAACTCAAGTGAGTATGCAATTAAAGCTGGTTATCAAGATCTGGACACTGCCGGGTTTACCAAGTCACAGTACTGAATGCATCAATCTGTCAGACAGAGAAAGAGGAGCCAAGGGATTGGAAATGCTACTAAGGTAGAACAGCAGCCAAAAGAACATGAGTAGGACTGTTGGAAGTTCCCCAAGAAAGACAAGTTTGGCAAAATAAAATTATTTTTCCCATTCTCTATCTGTTCTCTCCTTGAATTCCCTTTTCTAGGTGTTGTGTAGTAATATTCAGTAATGTCCGAGGTCAAATTCTGGATAATTGTTGACAATTCCTTTTTACCAAAGGGACAGCCCCTTAAAACAACATCTCTTTCATCTACGTCTGTTTCTCTGTCTCCATGACTGTAGCCTTAATTCTCTTAATTCTAAGCATTTCTCCTCTACAATTGTTCCACATTATTGACAAATCATGTTTCTGCATATCTGTTATGCTATTCATTCCTCAATGACTTACTCAGCACCTACAGTGTATCAGGTACTGAGTTAAGCTCTGGGGAAACGTGAAGAAGTGTGGGATATGCTGTCTCCAAAAGCCAGAGATTTACCAAATGTTCTGCCTCGGTCCAACTGATAGATATTGCAAGGTGCAATATGTCTTCCACCTTACAGAGGTTGTCCTAGCATGCCCCAGAATTTTGGAAATATAAAAACTTCACTAATATAGCAGGCCTCTGATCTTTGTACAGTTTATCCCTCTAGCATGGATGTACCTATCATGCTATGAAGGGCAGTATTTCTTGACTTGAACATGCACACAAACACCTGAAGAAAACTGAAGTGAAGATTCTGATTCAATATAGCTAAGACAGGGCCCAAGATCTGGCAACATTAGACCTGATTTTTTTTTTAAGAGAATTTATTTTTGTGTTAATATAAAACCCCACAAATTCTAGATTCAAAGTACAAAACTAGTTATCAGATCCTCGGGGCTCTACAATTTAGAAAGCTATAGTCGTGGTAACACAGATATGCACCCTTAGATTCCAGAAAAAAGTCTATCCACTTAGCCATGTGTAGAAGGTTAAAATTTTATTCATGTTTTAAACTGTGCAAAGACACATTGAATCTCTCTTCAAAGCCTTCTCCATCCAGAGGTGAGATTAAATTTAGCCAACTCTGATACAGTTACTTGGAAACAATTCTTTAAACTGTCCTTTTAGATTTTCTTGGGTTTCTGTCTCTTTCTCCTTGCCTCTGTCCAAGCTCCCTGGCTTCAGGGGATACAGGGCAGATAGCAGCCTGGGCATTGGGAGCCATCCTCTTCTGGCCATCAATTGCAGACTGGATAAAAAGATGTGTTTTTTAAAATAAAGTGGAGTACTAGTCAGCCATAAAGAATGAGAAACTAGAGACATTTATAGCTAAATGGATGCACACTGAGGTCATAATCTTAAGTGAAATAAATAGGACACACATGTTTAAATGCTGAATTATTTCTCTAGTGTGAGAAACAAAGTGTAAACAAGGATCAAAATGCATAAGAGATAATGTGAAATAGGAAGAAAAGGGGCAAAGGAGAAGGGGAAGTGGGAGGTGTAGGCGAAAGGAAAGAAGGGGAAGGAATAAATATGAGAAAAGAAAAAACAGAAACAAAGTTTTTGTTAATAGGGAGGGTGGAGGGGTAGACTTGATTTTTAAACGCTAGCCACATCCTTTGCCATACAACTCTGTAGTGTTTTTGTTTTTGTTTTGTTTTTTTCTACTAGGGAACAAATTTCTGTCCATCTTAATTATTCCTGGATTCTGTATTTTCAGTCTTCCTACTTGCTAACATTTGCCTGAAACTCCTGGATCAATACTTGCAGCGTTTTTGCAGTCATTTACAGATATGGCATAGAATAGCAGAAATATTTGAGTTCCCAGCTGAGGTTGAACAAGGCAATGCTCTGTTTTCTTGTTTTAGCTTTCATACTGGAAATGAGTGTTTCTTTTGCTACCTATTTAGTGCTACACACCTCCCATTTTTGTACTTTTTATTGGTGATTTCACTGTTTAAAGCAGTCTCCAACCACAGTAGTCAAGTGATGCCTACTGCTTGTAAGTACAAGAAGACTACAGTATACCTTATAGAGAAAATAGGTGTATATTTAGATAGACTTTTTTGAGGCTTTTAGTTATAGTGTTGCTGGCCATAGTTCACTGGAAATGAATCAATGATATATATCATGTC